GAGAGAGAGAGAGATCCCTGAATTGACAAATAAAAAATGTGTGTGAGAGAGAGACTTGATTCTTCTATTCTTGAGAACCTCAACTTGAATAGCAGGGCTATAATTTACAAAATTCCCATTGCTATGGGGCCAACATCATGTGCCATGATTTAGGGCAAAGTTAAAAGCGACAGATGTCTAACCAATCAAACATTGCTGCCACAAACCTAGATTTGTCACTTAATATAGACATGTTATCTAACCCTTTTATTTTTCACCTTGACCCCAAGAGGACTAAAACTATGTATATAGACAAAAAAAACTATGCATAAAGTCTTTCAAAGGAGAAATGGCTTTAATACCTAGATTTGTCACTTAATATAGACATGTTATATAACCCTTTTATTTTTCACCTTGACCCCAAGAGGACTTAAACTATGTATAAAGACAAAAAAAACTATGCATGAAGTCTTTCAAAGGAGAAATGGCTTTAAAACCTAGATTTGTCACTTAACATAGACATGTTATCTAACCCTTTTATTTTTCACCTTGACCCCCAAGTGGCCTAAAACTATGTATAAAGACAAAAAAACCTATGCATAAAGTCTTTCGAAGGAGAAATGGATTTGTCACTTAACATAGACATGTTATCTAAACCTTTTATTTCTCACCAGGACCCCAAGAGGCCCAAAACTATGTATAAAGTCTTTGAAAGGATAAAAGGCTTTAATAAACCTAGATTTGTCACTTAATATAGACATGTTATCTAACCCTTGTGTTTTTCAATGGCTTCAATAACAGTCACTTGTTTACCAATTTGACTTGGATTAAATTATTAAGAGTTGGTATTCCTCAAAGTCTAAAACCATTTATGGTGCTGACTTTCAATTACATATATTTTATGTTTTGAAAGGAAATATTAATGAAAATTTGATCAAGTGGACGGTGTGTGCTGCACGTGAAACCTCCCACAAAATAAAATTATTTCCCTAAGTTACAGCCATGAACTTTGGTTCCACAAATGGAGTTTGAATGGTTATGACATTCATTAAATAGTTGTTGTCTTAGTCGACTAAGGTGGCAATTTTGTGGGAACTTTGCTTGTAAAGGAATAGAAGGACCTTGTAGGAGTTTTTCAAATAATTCAGCTCGGGGTGTTTCAAAAGTGGATATCAAACTGAATCTGGGACTTTTGGCTTCACAATGTATCTCGATTTGGTGATTAAAGGGAGGTGGTGTCCTCTTTTGATTGGCTGTTTCAAGTTGAATTTCAATGGCAGTTTTTGGGCCGGGCCCATAAAAATTGGAGGCGATTTTAGAGATTGATTGGCTTGCTAGTGTGAGGACGCTACAACTAATTTTGTAGAACTTTACCTCTTTATGCCATCGAGAGCGGTTTCCCTGTGGAAGGGGACTCTTTTAATGTGATAAAGTAGTGCCCTATGGAATATGGAACAGCGGGTGCCTTGGTTTCTTAGTTTTTTATTACCAGGCATCTTGAATATTGTCCAGAAAAAAAAAATCTAACATTCATTTGGTATGTGTAAGTCATTGGATAGGGAAAGAAATGGAATAGAAACTAAATAAAAAATAAAAATTAAGGAACCTCTAGGGTGGAACGCTCTAATGTTTAATATAAGGAAGCATTCATTTGAGAAGGCTCGAGCAAACTCAGTCCCCCGAAAACTCACCCGAGAGTGACAACCGATTCAGATGACGATCACCCGATTAAGGGCATGTAGATGGCACATAAATTTGAAAAAGATATAGCAGCCAGGGGAGATTTAGAGTTCCTAACATCGAAATCAAAGTCCAGCGCTAGTGATTCTAATGCAGATCAATGATTTTTCAAAAGCTAATTTTTTTCCTAAAACTAACTGTTGAGTGAACATAAAACACTAGCACTGCTTCTTCACCTAGCCAGCGTGCACTGCAAATAGAGGTAAATCTTCTCCACAATAGCAGCAATAGGTTTTGTGGTTATAGGATTGTAACAATCCTGCTCCTCTCTCACTCCCTGATGAAGGATTCCTGCTCCTCTCACTCCCTGATGAAGGATGCGTGTGTTAGAGAGACAGGGGGAGAGCTCAAATTTCCAAAATTGCTCTTTGGGAGGCATACGCTGCAATAGAAATGCCATTTAAGTCCTTGAACGACCAGAAATAACTGCGCGTAGACGGACCATATATGACACATACACATATGCTTTTCCATTAACTATTCTCCAGTATATTCCTTTTCTGGGATCTTAATCAAACACCACACTTGAAAACTTAATTCCAAGAAAACTATTTATCAGAAAGCTATCTTATGAGGTGATTTCACCATTGTCCATTATTACAAAGAAAACATTCCCAAACTGCAACAGTTTTTCATTTACATGCACATGTGAATCTCATTGCTTATTTCAAACTGTTGGTTGTGTTTGGTATGCTTCTAAATAATTCATTTCCACCTTTTTCATGTTATGTTGGATCACAATGTGAACGCTTGTTCCCATAATTCCGACGTTCACATATATTTCCATCAATACAGGAACAATAAGACTTTCAAATGAATTTTGATCTACCAAATCTTACAGAAGGCATCATCAAAAAATATAATCAAATACTATAAATCAGCCATAACCCATTAACTTTGACAAAATAGTCGAAATTGGTGCTGTATGACTAACATCCTATTCTATGCTTTTTTCTTTCAATCTTTTACTTTCTCTTTTTAAGAATAATTTTACGTTCTGCAAATTGCGTCAATTTTTTGGTCATTGTCTACATGATTTGAAACTTAAAAGACATTGTTGCAGTAGGACCACAAAGCCGAAGGGAGGGGTAGAACCCAGAACCCTAGTGTCAAAGATTTTACTGTTTCTATTTTGTATCAGCACCAGAATCCAAACTACCCAAAAATGCAGCCTGCCAAACCAGGCTAGCCAAAAACTCGATTTGGCTAGCCAAAAACTCGAACTGAGCCTCTTTAAGTTTGAGATACACTTCGCAGAGGTCCAGAAAGGTCCCAACACCATTAGGTTCATCCACTTCATTAGCAATTCGAGTTGATGGAAACCTGGTAAGGCAGTTTTCCCAATTGGAAATATTGACATTTACCTTCCAGTTATCATGTGCCACATGTTTCTTCGCCTGAGATTCGCTTCTCTCTGCAAATTCTATTAGGTTATTCATTGCAATCCACTACAAATCTAATGTTTTCTTATAACCACACTTGGATCTGATGTTTCATGGTACTCAACCATAGGTGAGCCACTTAACGCTCCTCTGGTTTGCCATTACTAGTCCACCTTTGCACGAACATAATGTTTTGGTACTTTATGTTGGGAAAGTTTACCTCTATTGATGGCTAGTCTTCAACTTTATGCAGTTTCCATTATTGGTTTGATATGGAGGAATTTGGACCTTGACATTCATCTAGATTCATGTATGATGTCTACTTCACTACCAAACTTGTTAAATGAACAATGCACAATTGGGTTTCTTTTGGTGGACTGGGTAGATAAATACAGGGATAACAACTACTTACCCAATACCATTTGTATGACAGCTAGTGATGCCTTGACCTTTTCTTTTTCTTTTTATTTTTCTTCCCCTTATGCTTTCGTTTGGATCGTGATGCCTTCGAATTGCATTCACCCTTGACCATGAGTTCGAGAGGCTTTGGTGGACCAAAAACACGCTTTTCCCATTCCTCTTCAATCCTTTCATCTGTAGAAGGCAGCAAAGCTTTGCCCCTGTCTGACTGAAGGTAAGGGCCTGTTTCATCCATCTTCGAGCCAACTGAACCTCTTCCTCGCTTGGTCCTGTCACAGTTCAGTATTTCCATGACATGTGACTCCTTGTATCAGCAAGACTCCCAACTACAATATTGCGAATAGCATTATTCTCTTGTTACATGTGTCCTTTCCTTTCTTGATCGATTGAAATTTTATTCGATGAAGATATATTTGTAATGCTTTTGAAGCATTTTTGGACCCCCACATGCCTCCAAAATGGTTTTTTTTTTGGGTTAAGCTCCAAAATGGGTTTTGAGGTGGTGTATATGCTAATGCGTTTTAGCATTGTCCAATCAATGAGTTGGACAATGATGGAGAGCAAGTGAAGATGCAAAATTCAGTTAAAGACATTTTTGGTGGGATCCATAAACCTCCATTTCCATCTATCCCATTGATGAGGCAGTCATAAGCTCTGGTCATGGAGATATTTCTTTTTGATAAAGAGCTCTGGTCATGGAGTTATTAAGACCAAATGGATTATATACAAAGGAAACAGATTCTACACACCCATACCTAAGGGGAATTTTAGCATGCGTGACTTTTCAAAACACGTTTAAATCACTTTGTGATCAATTTCAGAAGGGGAAAAAAAAACTGGTTTGAACTCTTAAAACCCTACATCCTATCTGCAAACAAATGGATGCTCCAGGTAATCCTCATAACAAGGATTGAGATGGAGCACTTTCCTGAGCTCCAAATCAATTTCTTCTAGATTGATAATAGATATGAATAAATCTGATTTAAGAGTTTGGGGGCAAACAAATTCCACTATGCCCTAGCTACAATATAGGCCCTTGGCCTATAAAATCCTTAAACCACACACGCGCACACACACACACACTACAAAACGCCTATAGGTGAAGTTTTACAATACTTCACCTACGGCTTTATCACCATTCAGAGCTTATCACACGGCCATAGATGTCTGATAGTATTTGAATTTTAATATTTTTTTATCGCACACACACACATAGGAAAACACTGCAAAACGCGTATAGGTGAAGTTTTATAGTACTTCACCTACGGTTTTATCACCGTTCAAAGTTTATCACATGGTAATAAATGTCTGATAGTATTTGAAGTTTAATATTTTTTTTACAAATCATAATGATCTGAAATTTTGCAAGTGTGTGCGCCTTAATGAGATTCACATGAATAAAATATAAAACAAATAATTTGAATGATAAGAATTATGCAAAATACCCCTATAAAGTTTCAGAGGTAATTTCATCAGTTTATTTTGATTATTATTTTTTTAATATTTTATTTTGGTGCAAATTGGTCATATGTACACGCATCCCAAATTTTAGATAAATCTGACAACTACAATAATAATAAAAATTCAAATACTATCGGACAATTATGATCGTGTGATGAACTTTGAACGGTGATGAAGTGTAGGTGAAGTATTGTATAACTTTTATCTATACACGCGAGCTAGCCTTGGCAAGATACGCTCAAATTCAACACGAGCTCCCTTCTTCTTGGATGCATA